AGGATTTTAAAAAATGTTTATATAATCAGTTTTGTTGAGCTCGTCAAGATCTATCGAACTATGTAAAAACATCAAAGAAAAATCCCACTCGAGTTTTGCATTACCTACATTTTTACCTTTTTCGTTTGAAAAAAGTCGTCTTTTTTTCATATAGAACAGGTAAAGCATGTAAAATTTTTGTGCGAAAATAGGGTTTAAAAAACTCTCATATAAACGGTTTTGTAGAACTCGTCAAGATCTATCGAACCATGTAAAAACATTTTAAAAATGCTACTCATTTTTTGCAAACTCAGATCTTACTAAAACTCATAATAGTTATATCGTTTTGTAGTTTTTTACACAATTTTTCACTTAGTATTGAAGTTTGTTTTTTTGTTTCTGTACTTTATATTCAAGAATCCTCCATTTCAAACATGTGTATACATATTGTACTCGAGCTGTACTATCTGAAGAAAAAAAGAAAATTGAATCTATGTCGTATAGTTTTGAAACGCGAGCCAAAACAAAAAAGTGGTACAATACTTTTGAGGCGAACAGTATTTTCAGATTTCTGACTTGAAAGTTGAAATATTGTTCGATACCATGTGGAGAAGGTAGGCCTTTCCTAAGCAGTGATTTTCCATTACCACTCTTACATGTCATTTACGAAAAAAGTTTCTTTGTCATTATCTAAGCGACCAAACTATGGTGTCCATTTTATTTTACCAGACATTCGATGGTTTGGTTCCAAAAATGAACCGACTAGACGCGAAGACTCTCACTGTTACCATCTCTGCAATGATCTTTGATCCTGCTTGCTGCAGGAACGTCCCAGGATAACTTCTAATTATCCATTGTTGTTATCCAAAGTTTATAAGGCATTGGGAAATCTGGAAAACTTTAAATAGCTAGTGATAGCATGGGAATCATACCACTTTCTGGAAAAAGAAAAGTTATATGAGTTATGTGCAATTTGATCCGAAAGGTAGGTTTGTCTTGTTTTCGACCATCTAATCGAACAGCACATAATTGTATATAGTGCGGGTTAAGAGAAAACAATTTGACAACAACAGTTTGATTATCTAGTAAGTTCCGCTATACGTTGGACATCAATCCTTTTCACGTATGCATCTTTTTTTCGATTGAGTCCCTTTTACTCTGAAATTTGATACACTTTACAAGGGGTAACCATGACACAAAATCTGGAACCAAAGAGCATCGACTTATGCAAAAAAGATCATCAGTGAGTTCAAATGCTTCTCAAAGTACTTTCTTTGTGTCTTTTAACCGCACAATCAAATCAGATCATCTCATATGGATTTTATCTCAATTAATTCTATATGGTGGTGTGAATTATGTATTTTAGCTTTTCGTTTTGATGCCATGCAGTCATTAAAAGTTTATTTCAAATTTTGAGTGTGAATATGAGCACAGAGAGGCGATGGTTTGCGAAAAGAAAGCTTTCCCTAACATACATGACTTTTATCGACAAAGACGCAAGCTCCAATTGCTATCGTTTCTGTTAAAATTAAGATTGTTGATAATTCATTTGTGCAAATAAGAATGCCGATGAATATAGCTTTACATTATTGACACTTCAGAATGTAAGTTTTCTTTTCAAAAAGATTCCTATTCTTAGCCTCCGTTTGAATATAAAATCGGATAAAACTATGTTCCAGTTCCTTCAAAGGTCGTTCTTAGAAATAAGTAACGTTCATCGACCTTGAAAGTTGATTCACTGAGCCCTAGTCTGATACGATTCATCAATACAAATATATTGGCCAGGGATAAAAAATAGTCGTTTCTGCCAGAAGCGGATTCTGTGATTACGAAGGAACGAGCATATAAGTTGAACAAAGACGCAGGCAGGCGGAAAATAACTGAAAGTGAGAAACAATTCAGACGAAAATTAAAATGTTCAAGATAAATCAATAAACAATACACACAAATGCAAGTTGTGAGATGGTGAGGGGAGGCGAATAGCTGCCAAACAGCGGTTTCGGGTTAGAGGAGCGGAATCGAGCATCTCAGTTCCCTTACTCCATAAAATACGTGTTTCAGAAATCTATTCCGCGAGCTCAATAGCGTTCCAGAGGGATGGCGCTTCACTTTCCCCTAGTTACTGAAACGCGCGACTGCGGAAAACGGTGCGAAGGAAGCTCAAATTGATCCACTCCACTGGCTCCACCACCACGGGGACGAGAGACTCTTCGGCATGTCCCTTCTCATGATCCGACCATGGTTTATGCTATGAACATGGTCATTTGTCCCAGAGAAATCATCATTTGTGCCAAAGAAACTGTCGTTTCGTGACATTGTAGTGATCGATTTTTACATAGACATGCTGGTTTTTGTCACAAAGACGATCATTTTTTTCATCTAAACGGTAGTTTTTCCCACGAGAAATGGTCACTCTTTGCATGCAAATGTCCGTTTGCCCCAGAGAAATGATTATTTGTGCCATCGGAACGGTTGTTGGTACCACAAAAATTGTCGTTTCATGGCATAAAATGGCCGTTGGTGTTACTGAAACTGTCATCTGTGCCACAGAAATGATCTTTTGTGCCATGGATATTACAGATAGACCTGTAGACACATGCAGGTGAATTGCGGTTTCTAGATCCTAGCTGTAAAGTCTAGGGAATATATTTCTGGTATAGATATTGAGCTAACGGCGTTTGCAAGCCACATGCATTGGCGGAGACTATACCATTGACGGAATGAAGAAAAAGAGAAAAATTACGAAATGCAATCAAAGATTTACGAAACTAAGGCGCCATGGATGGCTGGATCCATTTCGGTTACTCAGCTTCCATCCAGCATCCAACATCCAAACTAGCGGCAGAATTCACGCGTTGAGAAGAGAAAGCATTTTTGAGCATTGGTACCTTAAGTTATGTTTAGTTTAATTGTTTTCTAACTGAAGAAGTTTGTGAAAATACTTTATTGCAGTGTTCCAGTAGCAGATTCTGCGGTTGTGGAATCATCATTACTAGATAAGCCTGATTTCTAAGCTGTGCTGTGACTCATTCACATGCTGTCGAATTTTTCTTTCGTTACGATGTATTATACGATAGTTATTCGTTGTTGATACGATTATGTTGCCAACGAGGGAAGGTTACCAACTGTTCAATGGCCCTTGAATCGAAACTATGTGCATCATATAGATCCTAATGGGCTATGAATAACCTGAAAATGATTGGGACGACTAGCTTATTACTGTCGGGATACTGCATTTTTACGATATTTTTAAGCAAAATCTCGTGATCTCCCTCAGGAATCCCAGGAAAGCTGATTTTAGGATTTCGACTAGAAATTTGACATCGAAACAGGTTTTAATGAGAGCAGTTTATTGAGAAAGTTTCAGATCTTGTGCTTGTTCCTGTTCTGAAATAGGAACGTCAAAACCTGTCGGGGTATACGAGCGATGTAAACATCCGTTTCAGCTGTACCTTACGATAGAAACACTCAAAAACTCTTAAACTTTCACAATGAACTATCCAGGTCAATCACGCTCCGCCGTAAACGGCCGTTCACTCACCAAATACGGCGAATAACGACCACTGTTTACGGTAGCTGCTTACGACGGCAGTAAACGATGCTTTACAGTATATTACGTCAAACTTACACGTTCACCGTACAAGTCCACCGGAAACTGCTACGGGAACAATACGGCGACTGTGTACTTTCATGGGATAACAACGTAAGGCGCCGTACACGTCAACCGTTTCCGATCGCCGTTTACAACAGTCGTACCTAATGCATTACGGCATACTACAGCCATCGTAAACATCGACCATAAACTGTCGCCGGTCACAACCTGCGCCGCAACGTGATGGCTGCATACGCTAGTATTATAAAACCTTGTGAGACGCCCCTATTAAAGGGCAAATCAAAATCCGCATAGCTGTATCTCCAAGAAGGGATAGGAGGCGATCCATACTTATACCCATCAATCGATAAAATATCCCCAAGAACTCTATGATCGGCCCGAACATGCCTGTATGTTTTCCTTATAAAAAGAGAGAAAAGTTCTCCTGAAATCTGATTGGTCTATTTAATGGACCAATGAAAGGGCGAGTTTCGATTTCTCAATGTGGGACGGGGTGGCGTCCCATGCCTCTACCCAGGAATTGATAGAGCGTCCCCGATAACCCTAGGATTTACGCGAGCATGCCTATGTGTGGTCGTTATAATATGGGAGAATGTTTGTCCTGATCAGATGGGGGCAATACGGTGCGTTACGGTCGTGATCGGTATCAAGTCTCAAGTCGAAGTTTGAAACTTCATTTTTTTTGTTCCTGAAGGGGGCCATGGCTTTATGTTTAATTAAAAGTACCGCAAAAATGCAGTATTTCGACGGAAATAAGCTAGCCACCCGAACTCTTTGCACGGTATTCATAGCTCATTAGGACTCGCCTGATGCACATAGTTCCGAGTCAAAAACGATTGAATAGTTGGTGACTCTCCCTCGTAAGTTGAATATAATTATATACACAGAATATGATAAGAATACAGTTGGACTCGTATCAGAACTTATAAATAATAACTGCTCTATGCATATCAGACATATGAAAGCAAAGTAGCAAAGAAGGTATTGTTCAATTACACATTTTTTTCTTGGCAGTTGTTGTACAGAAAAAAAACATAATGTTTTATTTTGTTTTATAGTCTATGTCCTAATGTAGATTCTCATTTTCAGAGTTTGCTGAGCTCTAACTACTGTAATTTGTGCAAGGATGTTAGTGTAAGCAAGAAATAAGTGAAAGAAGCTACGTTTGATTAAGAATATGGATGTGTTACATTGCTCAACACTAGTACCGCATTCCTTGGTTGATTTGTTCATAAATCAATCGTATCTATAGTTTTTTGATGGCGTTCCTCTGAAATCTAACTAAATATTTAAATCGAACTCTATACCACTCTAACATTCATCTAGTTTAAATATATTCTAATCGCTTTGTAGATAATATTACAGTTCCATTGTGTCTATAATCTATCAACGAGATTTCATAAAAAGAATGAGACCGAAGCGAAAACAGACGTTCGAACATGAACAGCTTCAGTCCTATCAGTTTGATTTTAATATTGATGAAGGAAATGTAATGGATAATGAAACGACGACTGATGTTGCAGTAACACCACTGCATGATGATTTACAACAACAGGATTTAACGCGAGATCAATTACAACAATTATTCAGTCGAGCTGGTTCTGCATTAGTTGCAGAAGCAACGGATGATCAAGAGTTTTTTAAACGAAAAACAACAATCAAAGTACCAAAAACAAGTAAAGTAATAAAAACACCATTCCCACCTCCTGAATCAGATCTTCAAGAGGATTTTGACATTAATATTGAACAATTGAAGCAGTTGGCTAATAAATCGACAGGTCCACTGATCATTGAAAGACATTCTCCAAATGAACAAGAAATTGATCATGCATTATCAACCATTGCATTCACATTTAATCAACCTATGATAAATATTTCAACACTTGATGAACAGATAAATCCAGAAGATCTAGGTCTATCATTAATACCAAAAATAGATGGTCGATGGAGATGGATAGACACGAAAACTGTTCAGTTTGAAGCCCAAACATCGTTTACCATATTCAACAAAGTATACACTCAGAGTTGACAAAGAACATTGCGTGTCAGCAATCGGAGGTAAATCCATCTAAAACTAAAGAGTTTCCAAGCGTATTCGATAATAGATAATTACAAAAGATGCAAAAAATAGAAGGCATATGACTGTTTACTGAATAAATGAATGATTGTCATTCTCTTTTAGAGAAAAATATTTTCATTTTGAATTGAACATACGGGAAGGTAACAAAAAGTCTTGAATACAGATTTCGAGCATTCCGAATATTCTGCGTTCTTCTTCTAAAAGCTTATGGGTTTAGTTTGATGGTTTCGTTTCATGCTTGGAAAAGCCCAAAATTTTCTTTCAAATAATCTAATAGGAGAAAGCCGTGTCTACCCAATAGGATATCGGGCTGAAACTTTTCTCATAATTACTCCATATTCTATCTCAGATTCCAGTTCTTTTAAGTGTTCAGGATTTCATTGCTCGGTATATGATATGGACAGCATATGTTTCAGAAGAAATCAATTATAATAATTTGAGACAGAATCTGAAATATTTGCGCTAATCAATGAAACTGGGTGGAGACTAGAGTTTTCCAGAAAATCTTCACAAGAATATCTGGGAAATTTTCCAGCAAAACATATCGGTTTTCTCAGGAGATACAATGTTGGCTTTTACAAAAATATCCAAGAGTCCAGTAAAATAATACGTTAAGTAAAAGAATCCGTCTGAAGTTATTTCAGGCTGAACGAAAGACGAACATAAGAAGATGGAAAACTAAGAAGTCTGGGAAGAACTTTGTATTCAATCTACCACAAAAAGTTTCAGATTACATCAATATGTAAAACTGTAGTCGACAGAACCAATTTTTAACAAGAATTAAAGGTAAAGTTGATGAAAATGAAATCAGAAACCTTTTCCCATAAGTATAGCAACTCTATTTAAACGAGTAGTGTAGAACTAGCTTGAGTTGCTTATGTACCTAAAACTTATGCAAATAGCTTTTTAATTTTGAGATACAAAATCTGATTTACATTCTTTTTTTGCATGAAATGTAATTATAATACTCTCTGAAAAAGTTCCCATTTCTAAGAGCTTTTTTTTCTTTCATATGCATCAATAAAGCTCGACAAAAGAAGTTTTATGTCACTATAATGTGCCGCAGTCAGCTCATAGCTTATATTCTACGTTGATTTTTTGATATTCCCTTTGTTTTTTAGGAAAGTTAGACGATGAATTTTTCTTTGAATTCTCAACAAAAGAATTACAAGTTCGTCAATTCTTACCATGTGAAACAGTTTCAACATTAAGACCTAAATGTTTTCTGTTATTCAATCAAAAAATTGATATAAATGAAATTTTCAAGCATATATGTGTAATGCGTGGGGATGAACACAAAATGCAAAGCCACGAATTAGAACTAGTAGATGAAGAAACAACAAAAAATGAATTTAAATCGTTCATAAATGAAGATGAAGGAAATCATCAGCAATATCTTGCATTTACATTTAAACACGATTTATTAAAGGCAACGGAGTATACAATCCAAGTGCCTGAAGGCTGTCCATCAGCCGAAGGGCCACTGAAGACAAGATCCGAATGGTCCGCTAACTTTGAGACTTATGAACCTTTGAAAATAATTTATTGGTTTCCAAATAAAGAGGATACGTATCAACACACTGCTACTCCTGGCAAATCTTGGTCGCTTACATTCAATAATTCTTTAGATCATTCAACAATTAAAAAGTCCATATTCAAATTCGAGCCGGAAGTCAGTGGTTTAGGTGAGCACAAATGAAACTCGTTTCAAAACATATTTTCTCGTTATCTTGTTTTTTTATGACTAAAGTCTAATTATAAACAGAACCAATCTTAAAGAAAAAAGTCCTTTTAGGTATTGAACATATTGAATATAATGACCGCAAAATATTAATACATAATGATTCTCAACCGAATACCGTCTATACATTGCTTATACAATCAGGAATATTGAAAGATATTCATGGTCAAACATTAGAGCATGATCATTCCGATCAACCAATTCAATTTCACGTAGATGATTTAAATACACCATTATACGGAACTTTACGAGGGGAATCAGGTATAGTAAAACAAAACAAAACAAAAATAATGCAAAAATATAATTAAAAAAAACGGTACATCTTGTCACTAAGAGAATGTTTGTTTCAGGTATGATTACAATGGATCCTGGTCTGTTAGATGACCCGTACTACTCATTTATGGTTTGTAACTATTCAGCATTAGTACTTCGTATTAATCGAGTCAAACCAGAACATTACCATTCAAATCTACTATATTACAGCGCACGTTTTAACGAAGACGAAGATCAAGACGAAGAGGAAGACGAAGAGCAAAAATCTTATAGTAAATTACTTGGTGAAGCGTTGCTAAATGAAATAATACAAACAAACTGTCAACGGAATGAACCGAAAGAGATAAGAATTCCTTTAAAGGCGTATTTCACGAAATCCTTTGGAGTAGGTCAATTGCTTATATTAATTACACCAACCAAAAAGGCATACAAGGAATGTAAACATCGCTATTGGGGAGATAGGCGTATTATATCAGTCTGGCTACAATGTACACGATTAGCGGTCGATGTATTTGCTTCTTCAAGTAATTTTATTTTAAAAGAAAAGTAGCCAATTTATTTTCGATTCATATCAGTGATTTCATTAGAAACAACAAACATAACTTAAGATTGAGTAGAAATAACCAGACAGACAACTATATTAAAAATCATTTAGCAAGATTTTACAATAAACTATCCGACGATTCTCGCAGTCAGTAATATGTATTACATCTCTCACAGACTACATTAAACTATAGGCATAATTAGATATACGGAGAATTTGTTTTCAATTTCTTTCTAAATAGATTCTAATTCTCAGCATTAATTCATTTTTTAAAAGAAACTAACACCACATTCATTTTCAGTTATTCAATTAGATTATGTGTATTCTATAGATAGATGAGATCTGGCTTTTTAAAGACTTTATCAGAGACTAATTAAACTAGTAATTGCTTTGTCAACTAGCTCGAATACTTTGGACGATCATTTTTTAAACTTCTTATTACCATTAAACAATCTGCATATGAATAACACTTTATAAGAAAATATCTCCCAAACAAATAATGTTATCGATACCATGAATATTCTTTTTTTTTACGTACTAAAGCAATCAAGAGATTGGAACTTTGTTCTGTATACTTAATTGAAAATGGATCAAGTTAATAAGATTCTTACCTAAAAATTAGCCAAGGCTGAGTTTGAAATGATTTTTGAATACTTCAATCCATAAATGTTTTCCAAATTCTTCAACCACCTTAGTTTCTTGGAAACTCCAATAAACATTAATTGACTATCACCTAAATACGTCTTCTAAGGATTACTTGCGTTCTGTTTTTCTTAGACGATGAAACAAGAAAATTAGTGAGCGTCATTTCTCCTGTGGTGGGTGTGAGGTGATTATATTCACTTTCCAATGACACAAATACTCCACAGCCTACTGTACGAATAATACTAATAACTTTTTATCCTAGATAATGACGGCACATTAACTGCATGGGTTACTGATTTAATGACTGGTGCACCTATTCATCAAGCAACTGTTTCAATATTGAATCAGAAAAAAGTAACAAATCAACAAGGATTATGCACTATTGAAAGGTGCAAGGCAAAAATTGTTAAAAGAAGAGGAGAAGAAGAAGAAGAAGAGGATAGAGAAGATGAAATATTAATCGTAGAAAAAGATGGCGATCTATGTATGGAGGTAAATATTTATCCTAGTGCAAAAGCTGATGATGTTTACGTCTGGCATGTGTTCAATGATCGTGGCTTATATAGACCAAAGGAAGACGTGCATATAAAAGGTTATGTTCGATTACTGAAAATAGAAGGTGAAGCAAAAGTGCCTACTTATGCTCAAGGTATAATCGACTATACAATTTATGATTCTCGACATGAAGAACTTCAACAGTCAAAAGTAAAATTGAGTCGTTATGGAACATTTGATATCAAATTTATATTACCTGACAACGCTAACTTAGGTAAAGTGTAATGTTCTTGCAAAACTCTATAGTTGTTGTGGGAGAAACTTCTTCATTAGAGGTTTATGGATCTCATTTTAATTGTAGAGAATTCTTCAAATATTTACACAAATTATCGCTAATGGGCTGCTCTGCTCACTGTCATCTATGAGGATTTGAAAAATATATCAGACGTAGATATCCGAGTGTGTCAATGAACGTACGACTATCTCCTTTTGGCTTCAGTTCGAAGTAGTCTTCTTTGCAAACATTGCGGCTTTTAGAAATTTCTTTTACGAAATGTAAATGACTTTAATAGTTATAGTTTCACAAAATCCTATCTTCCTTTTTGCCTAAATTCGAAATCTTTTTATATGGATCAATGAAATCGTCCACAGAAAGAGACGACTTCTAAAATTTTCATATGAATTCTATTAGCAATATAATCATGGCGCCCAATGTTGTGATATAAATTCTTGATGCGTCTTCTGCAGTCATTTCAATCGATTAACATTGAAACCAGCACATATCTTGAATCGACCAAGTTTCAGATTTATTATAAATCTTCAATATCGATAAGATCAGATTACCAGAAATCAAATCGAGTTTATGTGAAAAGTGAGAAACTCATACATCTTAGAGACTCGTCAGAAGAATAGGAAGGCGCTAAAATAAATTTTCAATTGAAATAACGATTTCGTTATGTGTCAATGAGTTTGACCTTCTTCAATTTGTCATTGAGGTAAACATCGTTATCTATGTAAAACTCTCGTTAATCAAACATATGAACGTCTGATCAGCCATTGGCAAGAGTGCAATAAATGTCATCTCAGTATATAGTAACAAACTCCTCAATTTGATCTCTTCACGAGCTTAATGTCCTCCTTAAACTGTCTTTTGAACTAAGATCTTGACTTTCTGTTTGTCTAGACTATGTTCGCATTTGCATTTCATCAGACTCGGTACAGTCCGCATCCATGAATGTAGGTCGGATGCAATGCTCCTTGCCAGCCAGAAGCTTAACCTTCAAATAATCTCAGTAATGTGTTAATATATGACGCTTGTAATAATCTTAATACGTTGAATACAATCCTTTTTCTTTACTTATTAGGATCTATCTGCAAATAGGATGGATAGGTTATATACTTAACGTACTTATCCTGTTTAGGATACTCCTCATATTGTCATATGTGCACACAATAGAGATGGAACCGGTAGAATTTTCTCTAGATCGAAGCCGGTACTGGTCTGAATCAGTTAGACCAGATTCGATCGACAGGTATATCGGCATGAGTCATTAGTGACTTATCTTATCTTATATGAATCATAAATTTACATCTAGCCTATGAGTTTTGATTGATTTCATATAGAACGCTCGGATAATAAAGGCACATAACTTTATTGTGCTCTAGTACTACTTAAATCGCCACACGCTATTAACTTGGTGAAACATGATACCATATAATTTGAAATAAGTAGATATAAAACATTGCTCTCTTGTTAGGTGTTGGCAGTAGAATGGAAACATGGATGAATATCTAAGACATAGTTCTTACGAAAGCAGAATACATTAGAAAAATAGTGCAAAGTAGGAGTAAATATTTGATACATTGCAGTTATGAACGATAGTTCACTCTTTTTTCTATCATAGAACCTGATCCTGTAGTGGTTAGATGAAATATACGAGTCAAAGTTTGATAAATATTGGTTCAACATAAACATCTTACTGCATTTTTCTGTGTAGATTTTGTCCTTAACATTGTTAAAAACTGTTTGGAATGCAAAAATAAGTTTTTCTACGTTGGATTTTTTCAAAAACTGACCAGAAATTAAGGAAAACATAAGATATTTTTCTAGAGCGGACCCGACCGATCGATTGCAACTCTGGCACAAGTCGATAGCCAAAGTTCTGATCTGTTTGAAGAGTTTTATCATTACAAACGATATTACCCAGTGAAAAATATTCCGAAGAAAATCCAGATTATTTTTGATTAGCGACGGAGAAATCCGATTTTTCAAACAAAACTTCTATTTTTTCTAGAAGAATCCGATTAAAATCGATTAAAATTC